AAGGGGATGTCTTCATCCATGTGGGTGTCGTCCATGCGTGGTTGGAGCTGGGGTACTCTGGTGGGGTTGGAATGGGTGTGCCAGGGGGTTAGCAGCACCCCTGCCTCTGCCTCTAGCCCGTGGGGGCATCAGAGATGATGGGGGAAGGACTCAGTTGATAAAAGGTGATGGAAAACAAATAATAGAGGATGATTTGTTGATGAAAAGTCTGTAAAGTAGGTGGGGAAGCGTGAAGATTTGGTTGTTGACCAATAAGGTGGGGGCTCGGCGAAAAACTTGGTGTGGTTTTTTCTTTCGCTGTGGTTGTAACGGCAACGGAGTTTTTTCCTCTGTGGTGGAACTCACCCCCCTAGGCTACACCAATGCTCTACCTGTCAGGCTAACAAGGAGTGTTCCCATACCCAGTTCAAGTGGGCTAACTGTGAGGGATCTCACAAATCTACTGACTCAAGGTGTGAGGTTTATAGGAATATTGTCAAGAAACCAGAACCTGCTGCTGCTGACAACCCCTCTTATTCCTTGTGAGAGGCAAGCCAATCTCCATTATCCAGGACAATTGTGCAAAGACTTATGAAGTTCTGACCTCTCTCCTTCACTACACTAATGGCAAAGCAGATATTATTTTGATTCAAGAGCCCTGGCTGCCATCTGATGGCACTCCTTACTCTCACCCCTCCTTTGATTCTATTCTACCTAATACTGCTGATGGTGAAAAACCCAGAACTGCTGCCTATATTAGCAAATCCAGCGAAGATATCTTTTGTTTTTACAGAGCTGACCTTCTTCCTCACCTTGATGGTGATATCCTTCCACTCCAGATTCTAGCTGGAACAGAGAAGTTTACCCTTTGGAATATTTATAATGAAAGAAGAAAACTAACACCAGACTCTAGACCAGTCTATACTATGGACAGAACTCCCCAGTACATTCAGCTACCACCATCCTCAATCCTTTGTGGTGACTTCAACGCCCATTATCCCTGGTGGAATTCAGAAGTTCAACAGCAAATCAGAGGTGACTCTCTAGTGGACTGGTTTATAGCTAACAGGTGTGATCTAGTCAACTACCCTGATACTCCTACCTACAACTACAGACAAGGAAATGGGACTTCAATATTGGACTTAACACTAGGCACTCCTGATATCTTTGACAGGCTAGTTGACTGGGCTGAGGATCAGGATGCACATACTGGAAGCGACCATGAGGCGGTAAGATTCTCCGTAGTATTGGATGCTTTCTCCTTAGTTCCAAGTCCTATGAGCAACAAATTCAACTGGAAGGCAGCAGATTGGAAATCTTTTCACAAGACACTGTAGGAATTAATGGCTAAGTCTTCCCCTACATTTACTCTCCTGCTTGATAATGGTACAGCTGAATCCTTAGACCAGGCTGCATGTATTCTCACAGACTCAATTCACCAGTCTCTCTCTCTACATGTTCCTCTTAGCAAACCTTGCTCTAGATCAAAGAGGTGGTGAACTGAGGAACTTGCTAGTATGAGGACTGAGATGGCCAAATGCTGCAGAATATGGCAACACTCCAGACTTGAGACTGACTACACTGACTACAAAAGATCTAGGAACAGGTACTTTAGGAAAATCAGAGACAGCAAATCTAACTGCTGGAAGGGTTCCCTCAACTCTGCTAGGGGTCAAGATATCTTTACTGCAGTTAAGTATAGTAGACCAACTAAGTCCCTCAAAACTCCTCCCCTGTCTTTTGACCTACAGTGTGCTACAGACTTTGATAGTAAGTGCATGATGTTCAGAGAAGCCATGTTCCATAATCCACCTGCAAGCAAAACAACTTGCAACCGTGAGGATACAGAAATGCATCAGCAAAAAAAACAAATCTCGCCCGACGCGGAATGTCTGCGTCCAGACGTGATTGGTCATTTCTTTTTGTTATGTGCGTCCTGACTGTCTGGACGCTGACTCACTTCGTCCATCCCGTCTGCTGCGTCCACACGAACCTACTTTCGCCTCCACCTCTTCAGACACGTGTCGCGGACCCCGCTCGTCACAATGCCATCCGCGCTTTTACTCCACGCCCTTATTTTGTCCGGTGGTCTTCATTTTCTACTGTTCCCGGATCTTTGCCTCCTGAATGCGGTTTTACTAAACCGACCCACCCACGCGGTGAGGATCTGTCCAGTAACATCCTATAATAAATCCTTCGCTCACAGTACTCCCGTGTAATCCTAGTATCCGCCTCTCGTCCGGCACATATCTGCCGACTCCGACCGCCCTCTTTACACCATGTGGTTGTTCCTACTACCGTCCCTAGCCTTCTTTCCTATGGCCTTTGTGACGGTACGGTAGCAGAAAGACCCACATCATGTAAAGATAGCGGTGGGCGTCGGTGTATAGGTGCCGGACGATTTATGTTTCTTCCCGAGCTAGCTCACAGCACGAATTGTGTCCGCTCCAATCCACACTCCTGATATTTGTACTGCTTATTAGTACTTCAGGCTCTGCACATCCTCTCTGGCGGCAGTTTTCCATTTTCAGTTTAATTAGCTAGTAGCATTACCGTGATCCTTATATAGTCTTTATAAGTATATATATAAAAGAATTCAATATATCTCATTAAACTTTCGCAAAGCAATCCGGTGATTCACTATTCATTGTCTCTCCCTGGCAGGAACCAGATGTGCCTGCCCGATCACTACTCCTATATTGACGATCCGCATATCCCGCCCGCTGGACCGCTTGCAAACTCGGATGTGTCCACTCATATTGTAAAATCTCCCACTATTCACCGGATCGAGCACTTGAACCAACGCCAGGCGAGTGACACCTCCGGCCTTGCTCCGCACGTTTCTTATCTTGAAAAGTCCTAATAATCGTGCGACACACCTCCCCCGTAGATCCCCACAACTGTCCACTCCGCCAACCTGGATCCATATCCAATCGTTTCTCAGCGCTGCGTTTCGGAAAGTGTTTGTTCCAGTACAGCGAGCCCGGTGGATCTGGAAGACGTCTGTTGATTGAAAGTCTGGGACTGGAATTTCGAGCTTGGTAAATTGCTCCACCGGAAGCAATCCCAGTTCTGAGGAATTGGTAGGTACCCGCAGCTCATCCGCTACAGTCCGTTGGATATAACGGACCATCTCCTCCACCATTGCGGAATAATTGATCTGGAGGGTTTCGCAAAAGTTAATTAGCGTGCCAGTGTTCGTGCGGCCTCTCAGAACTCGCCGTAGTTCGCTGCGGCTTGAAGATGTTTGTATCTCTTCCGTCACATTTCCTATCCTAACCTCACCATCAGCCTTTGATAGTTCCTCGATTGTAAGCAATCTCATTCCCAGGGCATGCTGGCGGCCATATTGTAATAAGATCTGTCGGGCAGCTTCATTTTTCTTTGATCTCCTGTAGCCTTCTTTATTCTGGTCCTCATGCGCCCGTTCACTGATATCTGTAGAATACATCGTCACGGACCCAAAACGTCGGACGTGGGCCCCAAAGTGACTCAGGTAGTGCATCTTAATAAAGTTGAAGTGGTTCTCACGTCGGATCAAAATTTCCCGCTGATGTATTCTTAGGCGCCTCTCTTCATCCGCCAGTCGATGGCACTTGGCGGCGGAGATGTTGGGAGGTACTTTGACTCATTGATCCGCTATCTGTTCTCGTAGTTCACGATCCTGACAATGCCCCGGGGCGCGAGTGGCCTTCAAGGTACGAACCTCATGAAAGATGTCTTTCGTCTGGTGAAATGTCCGCAGATAATCTTCCATGTAAGATATGGTGTCAGGGGTATGGCTCCGATACTGGGCCATTAGACTGAAATCAACCAGCGCACTAACACATTGCAAAGCATGTTTGAACGAGAGGTGCTGAGAACTGTCCGTATTTCGTAATGCAGACGCTAACGTAACCGTAATGCATCGGCTGAGGTTATCTATTTCCGTTCCTTGCCATTGCGTGACTTCCCGCTACGCCTTTTTTGGTACGCTGAACCCGAGATAAGGGGGAAGTTCTTTCCACACGTCGTCGAATGCCTGCTACCGTTTGTGCTTTTTCAGGAATCCTTCTATCCATTTTATCATATGTTTAAATAGGCCAAGGTAGATGTTATGCAAGAGGTCTGGGTTATGGAGGTCTGCAGGGTCTACACGGTGGAGTCCGGAGAACACGTTCTGGCCTATTTTCACCCCAATCTTTTTGAAATATTCCCTAGCACAGGCCATTCCTGTCTCCCCGTACTCCGAGGCAGTTTTCGCATATAAGGTGTAGTCACGGATCGTATTTGTAGTCCGCGGGTCGCCACCAAGCTCTCTGCCCTGAACCTCATACTTCGGGCATAACTTACTGCTTATCCCATGTAAGTTCGTATGCTCGGCATGATCCGCAATCCAGGCAGACAGGATGGGAAAGCAGAGGCGTGTTTTCCCATCCAGGCAGTCCATTATCGTACCTTCTAGGGCAATGGCCTGTAATGGTGCAAATATGAGATCAAAAATAACCTGTAGTGAATCCGCATTCATCTGCCGCTGGACTTCGTTGGCGCGGGCTGATTCACCGCTAAACTTCGGTGGCACAGGCAGCAATCCAAGAAGGAGGATCAGCATCTTTACGGGGCTGTTTCTAGTCTACGAAAGGATATTGCCAATTGTCATGTACACCGGCCAGGCTTGCTTATCACCCGAAAAATTGGTAAGGTGAGTCTGGTCCGACAATCCGATGATCGGGACCAATGTTGACCCGGTTGGTAGTGACTCCTATTAGGAAACAGACGGCATTATTAGCATGAGAAACACTAGCTACTCCCAACTTTTGCAGACCAATTCCATACCTGAGTCTCCCACTACCAGTCCGCTGTATGCATCTTAGAGTACAATCGTTCCCCACTTGAATTATATTCGCGAATAGGTGCGTACACCATATCAGTTCTATATGTAACCTGGCGGATCAGGTAGCGGACGCCATCAATAATATTTCTATAATGGAAGGTCGTTGCACATTTCCCATCGTCCACAACGGCTTCTGCCCACACCAGATACTCATCGAATGGGTCCAGTGCTTCGAGCTGTTTTCTTAATTTATATGCAGACTCAAATGACCCGGCGTCCTTGCCCGGCAAGCCTTTTGCAAAATAATCATCAATCCCTGACTTGGCTACCTTAGTTCGGATGAACCAGCTAGCTAAATTGAAGTCGTCTTCGGATGAAAAAGGGCTCTATGGGTCATCACTCAAGGCCTGATTGAGCTCTGCATAGCCAGCAACATCCCCGATTGCTCAGCCCGCAGCCGGAATCGTCCGCTGACTCGATGGGCTTGCCGTGTCTGGCAGTTGTAATATGTCCGAGTCTTCCGCGTCCAAGTCGTGCTGTATATCGCTATCCACTTCATAATCTATGATAGCTAACCCAGGGTCAGATTCATAGTCCGAGTCACTCTCTTGATCCGCAAGCCTCCTCACAGTAATGACCTGCTAATCCATGATGTCATTAGGTACGGAAGCTGTCAGGTCGGATGAGGTCTGATCGGTGGTAGCGCGGAGTAATTGGATGATATCGATATGCATTGCTCGAAGGCGCCTCTCGTATGCAGCAGCCTGTTGATAGCGGCGTCGACAATCAGGGCACTTGGACGCGTTTGAGGTCATCGTGGTCGTCTATAATGTTGACTTCTACTATCAAGAGGTCTATTGGGACACGCGTTAGCGGATAAAATGCAGATAAGGTCCGGCCGCATATGATCTTTCAAGTTTAAAGTTGGACCTCTCGGAGACTGGAATTGGAGCAATGACCTTCGAGATAGTAGGATGGCCAACAGGTCTGCAGGTGGAAGTTGTCTGCACGGTGGTCTTGGTCTTTCCAGTATAGTATCTTGGCCTTACAAGTGTAGTATCTTGCTTCCAAGGAGGGTGTTTCCCTTGTGAGGTCATCGTCTTGGCGCGTATTCTGCGGCTCATTTGTAGCTCAAAAGATCATTCAAGAACCGGTAAATTTTCTAGCTTTCAGGTACAGAATGGCATGGTACCTGCTATTAACCCGCGAGTCTCTTGGCGAGTACTCTGCGGTTCATCACCGGCCGGCCCCCAAATCTAGTATCTAGCTGTTCAGTATCGTTTATAGCCACCAAGTATGGTGTTTACTAGAAGTGAGTCATGAGCATCTTGCCGCACATTTGGCGGCTCATTTGCGGCTCGAAATCACATCCGGGTATGGTATAAGGCTTTCAGGGATTGTTCCAAGTACCATAAGTATTTACTAGTAAGCGGTGAGAATCTTGGCACGTTTTTTGCGGTTGATTTTCAGCTCCGCAGGTTTTCCAAGTCTATTACCGGTAGTGTTTGGCTTCCAACTGTAGTTTCTAGCTTCCAAATATGTTGTTAATTTTTCCAAGTGAGGCAGGAGCCTCTTGGGGCGTACTCTGTAGCTCATCAGTTGGTTTTTCAAGTCTAGTATTTTGCTGTCGAGTATTGTTCCTAGCTACCAAGTGCAGTATTTACTACTAGTAACCAAAAGAAAAAGCCTGCCCTTGATGCCGGGATGGGGGCTCAGAATGGCCCGGGACCTTTGCCCATTTCCACATGAGCAGAGGCTGGTTCAAAGCTCCTGCTATCGTACGGGCAAGGGTCAGGCACAAACCCCCTGGTTTGGACGAGTACCAGTACTAGTGGTGGGCCCTGAGCGTCTTGGCACGTACTGCGCGGCTCATCCCCGGCTTACATCTCAAGTATAGTCCTACTAGTACTAGTAGTATTTAGCTGCCGAATATCATTTCAGGTACCAAGTATGGTGTTTACTCGTAGTAAGCCGTGAGCATCTTGCCGCATATTTTGCGGCTCATTTGCGGCTTAAAATGGCTCCCAGGCATAACATATATTTTTCGAGTATCGTTTCTAGCTTTCAGGTACTCGCGTGGCCGAATTGAACCCCGACACTTTGTATGGGAGTTGATACCTTAGCAGGTGTCCGGGTTCTAACCGGCCGCGCAGGTATGATGAGTAATATTTAATAGGGACCGTCTTCTTCACGTTTTGCGGCTCACTTGCGGCTTAAAACCTTGTCTTGGCTAGCGTGGTCTTGGCTAGCGTGGTCTGTCTTTCAAGATGCCAATGATTGTACAGTGTACAAACCTAATTCAACCCACCAAGGCCTTCTCTAGTCCATACAGACGCTGCCGCCCCTTCTCCCCCCCTTCTCCCTCCTCCTTCCTCCATCTCCTGCCGGCACCATCAAACAATCACTGTTTCCATCAACGCATCCATCCACCATCAACACACCCACCCCCGGCGGCAGGGACATAGACCGCCCTCAGACCAAGCATCCGCTGGTAAGTACCCAGTTCAATTTGATATGTTCACAGCTAAGTCGTCGGAAAACAATTTCGATCCGTAAAAGTTCCGCAACCGCCCAATGTCATCTGTCGCACCTCTCTCATTTCCGTTCAAGTATGTACAGAATCCAATTATTATTCCTGCCTGTTTTTCTTGCTTTCAGCTGACAAATTTCATCAGCAAAAGATAGAGGCGCTCCCGCTGTCCCCCTCCCCCCTCCCCCCCCCCCAAGCCACCCACGATGCCGAAAGTGGGACTTGTTTGCCCAAGAGCACCGGGCCATGAAAATGATGGCGATGTGTATTGGTGCAAACAAGTCTGTCGGTTCCCAAACCCGGCTACCTTTAGTCTGGAGTATAGCAGCTGGCGGAATGCCGTGAAGCGCAGGATGGAGCGCGAGCGGATTACGGGGTACAGGGGCGCTACTCCGACCCAATGGGCGGCCATTCAGCCCTACACCCTGACAGTGGAGCCCATTGCCAGCAATGGCATGGCACCCCGCTGGCAGGCCAACACAGCGAGGGGCAGGCTGCTCACCGAATGTCTGGATTTTTTGCTCAAGGATGTAGCAAAAAAGCATTCGAGAACGTTGACGGCAATGGGCCTGGCTGTTGCTCCTTCCCCTCCTGTTCCTCCTGCTGTTGCCGCCGGAAATGATCGTAAGTTTCCTCAAACTGTGCGCAGCAGACTAGTAGAATTTATGCTAATAGGGATCCTATAGGCTTTGCCGGTCCCCGCGGTGTCCGCCTGTGGTTTGATATGCCATCCGAGGTCCGCCTGGACGGTCCGCTCCTTTCCGGACTGGACAACGTCCAGTGGCAAACCCGTGTTGCGGTCTCCTGGCCGGAGCTGACGGAACCAACCCTGTCCCACTTGCTATCTCAAATAGGAAGGGTAGTGGCACGCGGGGTTGGGTATCGTTATCTCGTCGGCGCCATGCAGTACAGCTCAATTTTGCTCCGCGATGATCCGGATAAGCCGCTGCCGATATCCGAGATAATTCCCATCTTGTCGAGC